AAGTTTTTACTTGAGGCAGGGTCTTGCTAAGTTATTAGGTCCTTCCTAAGTTGCTGAGACTGGCCTTGAACTTGTGATCCTCCTGCCTTATCCTCCTGAGCAGCTGGGATTAAATATGTGCACCACCACATGCAGCTTAATCATTGTATATTTTAAATTAAGTAACTGACACCAATTTGGAAAAGACTTTGGAATAGCCCTGTTTGATTCTTGTGCTTATCAGAAGAATTGAGAGAAGGTTATCTCTGATTTCTCACTTTTGTTTTTTGGTGCAATGAGCAAAATGAGACCTCTATACACGGTTATTTCAGAGTTGCAATGAATGGCATGTAAATAATACATTTATAACTCATTGATAAAATAGCTAAGGCACTGAAAATGGAAAGACAATTAGGGCAATATGCATAAAAAAATAGAAAGTTTTTGATTATTAGACTCCTCCCTTGGTTTTGCCAGATCAATATATCTACTGAGTTGTCATGTAAAATAAATAAATATTTTAAATTAATTTCTTCTGTTTGAGTCAATAAATAATTCATATATTACTGGCAAAAATGTATATTCATATCCTTTCCCATTAAAAAAAATAAAAATACATTGTTATCTTAATAGACAAAGAAAAATACTATAATGCTTAGATTTCTGGAAGAAGAAAGGGATAAGGTAATTTTTAAAAGAATAATATGGTCTGACATGGGAACATAAGAAATTAGTAATGGCTTACTCAACCGGTATAACTTGGACAATCCCGCAGGGGGACTCATAATTCTAGGTGGCTTATGTTTAGCTGATGTCTGCAGTATTAAATAGACTAAAATTTTCTACTTGATTGGATTGATGAAAAACTATTTGGTATTTTAGTATCCAAATTGAAGAATATATAAAAAATATATAAATATAAATATATATAAGCAATATATATATAAAAGCATAAAATAGTTACAATTGATATTAATAGCCAAATTGTTCATATAAATATGAACTTTAAATAAAGTACTATTCTAGAAATACAGGAAAAAATGGAGAAATTTGATAACTTTAAGGTGAGACATACAATAATAATTTGAATTCAGAAAATGCGCATTCATATCTCCTGGGATCATCATTCAACACATATGACCTTTGCCTTAATTTTTTTGTTCCTTTGGATAATTAAAGTCAATAGGTACTTTAAATTAAATATTGAATATATTATTAAAATAATATTCTACATGTTCTTGATTGTTTGTAAAAGTGTTATACCCTTAAAAACCAATAATTGAAGGAAAATTAAATAAAGGAAAGCAAATACTCATAATTTTATTATCATAATAGGTATTGTTAGAATGTAGAGCATGAGGAATCAGATATTTTTTATTTAAAAAATTGATTAGTCTGTACATCTAAATAGTTTAGAGATGGCAAATAGCTTACATACTCTTTGAAAACTTCTCTAACTTATGATCATGATGCACATCCCAAATTGAACACGGGATTCTTATCACTGAACCTGTACTGGGATTCATACTTCTTCCCAGAACTCAAGGCATCATTACCAATCAACTGGATTTGGCACTTGAGAAGAAACTTCATTGTCATCCCTGAAATGGACAATCCTTCCCTTTTAGAAAAGGGAATTGAAAGATAGAGTACAGGACTTGGCCCAAATAGCATCACAACTCTGTGACTTCATCTGAGAGTGATACCTGTCAGACTGAGTCCTTTACTTCCCAGTTTATATCCCTTTACTATATATTGAATTCTTTAGGGAGTTTGGTATGGAATTCTACACTTAGTATTCATTTAACAAATATTTTTGAATGACAGCCTCAATGCTAAGCATAAAATCATTTTTATTAGAAACTAAATAAACCATGATGACTATTGTAGAGATCATTATATCATCTTTCTCTTATATTCTTTTCAAGTGCAGATTCTGAGATGCTGCTTGCTCTGGGAAAATGGAGTACTTTAGAGATGGAAAGGAGTACTTTAGGTTGCTGAATGTAACTTTTTTTTTAAAAAAAGATACACATGACAGCAGAGTGTATTTTGACTTATTATACATATATGGAAAATAACTTCCCATTCTTATGGTGGTACATGATGTGGAGTTGCACTGGTAATATATTCATATGTCATTGGTTGTTGAATTTTGAGTGTTAATCTTTTACTTTTAGAGAGAGTGGAACTGTACAAATCTGGAAAGGTTTTCTGTGATGGCAAGGATGTTCAAAATGAAAAGTCAAGGTAATGAACTTATAGTCATGTATTCAACTGTAGATCTATGAAGAAAGGTAGGTATTCATTCCCATTGAATAGAAATAAAATGGAAGGAAGAAAATAACTCTGGGGTAGGGGGAAAAGCTGTTAAGTTACACAGCAGATCAATATTTGTTGTGTGGACAATGTATTGACGAAGGAATGCAAAGTAGGTTAGTGATTGGGTGGGGTTAGGAAAATTTGTACTTTTTTGTTTTTTTAAGCTCTGTGGTGATTGTCTTGTTAGTTTTCAGATATCAAACCAGCCTTGAATCTTTGTGATAAGTTCCACTTGGTCATGGTGTACAATTCTTTCCATATGCTACTGTATTTTTTTTCGGTTAGCATTATGTTGAAGGTTTTGCATCCAGATTTATGACTTTCTCCCTTTCTCTGGATGTCTTGGTCTGGTTTGGGTATCAGAGAAATAATTGCTTCACACAATGAGTTGAGAAGTGTTTCCTCTTCTATTTTTGAAAAGCTCATGAAAAATTGGTATTCAATCTTTAAATGTTTAATATAATACAAAAATGAAGCCATCTGGGGCTTGGCTTTTCTTTGTGGGTAATCTTTTTTTGTTACTAATTCAATCTTTCACTCATTATAACTTGATTCAGATTGCTTATTTCTTCTTGAGTTCATCTTATTAGTTTGTGTCTTTCTAGGGATTTTGTTTATTCCTTCTGAGTTATCTAATTTGTTTCCAGCCATCATTACTTTGAGTAAATTTCCTGTTCATCTCTCTCCCTCCTTTCCTCCTGGTAATCCCATTAAGTGTATATTGATGCATTCAATGGTGTCCTACATCCCAGAGGCTCTGTTAATTAAAAAGAATTTCCCTCTGATTTTTGGCTTGTGAGGTCTCATTAATCTACCTTCAAGTTTCTTAATTCTTTGTTCTTCTTATTTCAATCTGATAAAGAGCCTTCTAGTAATGTTTAAATTTCAGTTATGTCACTTTTGCTATTCAGAATTCAGTTTGCTTTTTTCTTATATTTTCTATGTTTATTAATAGTCTCTATTGAATGCAACATTGTCATCATACTTTCTTTGGTCTCTTTAATCCTGGTTGCTTTTACTTTTGTGAATCTGTTTATAATCATTATTTTGAAGTCATTTTCTAATCAACCTAACATCTGGTTCTCTTATGGGCAATTTCTGTTAACTGCTATTTTTTTTCTCATGTGTAAAGAATACTTTCAAGTCTCTTTGCACACCTCCTACTTTTATTTTGTTAGAAATTGGACACTTTTCATAACATACGACAGCATTTTGGTACTCGTCTCTCTGTCTCCATGGCATCCTTTTTTATTGGTTTAATGACTGGCCAGATTATTGTAGTGATGTCTGTTAAATTCCTGATGTTGTTCTGTACATAGGTGAAATTGAGTAGTCCCATAGTCACCATGGCATGATAGTGGGTGGGTTCACTTCCTCTTTTTCTCTGACTATGCCCAAATATTAAATGTCACCATTTATTTGTAAGCAGATTGCTCTAATGTTTTCAACAATGTCCCGGCATATGAGCGGCTCTAAAAACAATCAAATCAAATTCTATCGCCTTTGAGAGAACAGTTTGTGAAGTCTCTGCTTCATATTTATTCTGACTGCGGGAGCGTTCCCTACAGTTGTCTTATTCTTGATTTTCTCCTGAAAATTCCTGGCCAACAATCCTAGCTGCATCTTTGTTAAATTCATAAGTCTGGCCCATTTGCCTTTTACCAGGACCCCCACTGCTCTTGCAAGTACTCTTAGGCATGACTTTATCCAAGTTCTGTTGAAAATAAAGTCAGTTCCTTTAGGAAAAGATTAGCAGCTCTCTGTTTTAGAGCTTGATTCTTCCCCCAACAAACTCTGAACCAGAGCTGTGAGTATATCTGTGGCAAGATTCTCTTTCATGACTTCCCTGCTAAAGGAGCTGAGGGGTTGGTGGAGGAGGTGGGAAGTGGCCTGATGTCCTCTCAGTTTGTCTCTCTGGAGTGCAACCCATGAGTCAGGTAACAGTTATCACAGTGCTGTGCCTAAGACGAATACTTCGTTCTATGAATTGGTTATTGTTTTTCAATACATTTGGGAAGTTTCCAGCCATTATTTCTTTGGTTATTTTTTTCTGCTCATTTATTTCTCTGCTGTCCTCTTGGTAATCCTGCTGTGTGTGTTGATGGTTAATAATGCTCTACCTCAGGAAGAAGGGAGCTGCCATTTTTCAGTTATGCTTTCCTGGGCTTTCTCTCAACAATAGGTATCTGGTGGCAGGATGAGGAACACTGATGTTCTGTTACTGCTGGGAGAAAAGCCCCCCAACTGGGACCTGGAAGGGAGTGGAGAGCTCATAAAAATTGCAAATATGCAAAAAACATAAGGAGATTTAACATGTATTAATGTTTTGCCATATTCAGAATTATTTTTCATAAAGAAATAAAATGTCACACAGAAAGTTAAAGATTTCTTTGCATTTATAGAGGATACATATAAAGTATGTGTGACACCAAGGAGGGGATATAATACCAGAGATTTTCTAGCATCTGGGCTTACTGTAGTTCAAGTCACAAATTAATCCAGTTTTTAAAATCAATTAACAACACCAACAATTAGAACCACTTCCAACTGCTCTAGCTAATTTGCTGAATCCAGGATCTTCATTAAGTTCACCTCTATCAGTAAGTGTGGCTCTATCTAAAATTATTTTTTATCCCTCTTGTTTATCCATACTCTCCCTCTGTTTACTGAGAAACCAACAGTCTGTCAACCATCTTTGAGTGCTCACTTTGACAGCACAGATAGTAAAATTGGAATAATATAGAGAAGATTAGCATGGCCTCTGCAAAAAAGTTATGCAAATTCATGGAGCATCTATGTTTTTTTGATACGTGTGTACCTATGACAGCGTGATTTATAATGGCCAAATTATGGAACCAAACTATGTGTCCATCAACAGATGACTAGATAAAGAAAATGGGGTATTTACACACAATGGAGTTTTATTCAGGCTTAAAGAAGAATGGAACTATGTCATTTGCAGGAAAATGAATGGACTGGAGACATTATGCTAAGATTAGCCAGATCCAGAAAGTCAATGTTTTCTCTCATATCTGGAAACTAAGAAAAAAAAATGGAAAGAAAAGGGACCTCAAGAAAATAAAAGAGAGACCAGTAGACTAGAGGAAGGAGAATTGAAGAGAGGAGAGGAAAAGTGAAAGGGGCTGTATAATAGAATAAAACAGACCAAATTGTGCATTGCATACGTATGACTATATCACGATGAATGCCATTATTATGTAAAACTACAATGCACTAATACAAACCAAAACAAGGCCTGTGAAGAGGTGCTCCTGCATCTTTGAAAATCATTGGAGTACTTCTCCATAGAGCAAGAAGACTTGGAAGAAGTGCGACAGTAGAAATGAGTTCCTTGATTTCAGTTGGATATGGAATGTCAGGGCAGCAGAGGTCAAGCATGTAAGAGCACTTTAGTAACCTCGTGTAGTTATTTGTGTTATCCAGCTTTCTGTTACTATAACAAGTAACTGTGATAACTAGAGTATACAAGGAGGGAGGCCTAATGGACTCCATTGCTTTTATTTTATTTATTTGTTTATTTATTTATTTATTTATTTATGGTGCTCAGAATCAAACCCAGTGCCTCATGCATGCTAGGCAAGCACTCTACCACTGAGACACATCCCTAGCCTCCATTGCTTTTAGACTTGTGGATAAGCAGCACATCACGGAAGGAGCACTTGGCTCACTTTGTGGCCAGGAAGAGAGAGAGAGAGAGAGAGAGAGAGAGAGAGAGAGAGAGAGAGAGAGAAGATGGGGTACCAAAATTCCCTTTGAGGGCACACCCCCAGTGACCTTAAGACCTCCCACTAGGGCCTACCTCTTGAAATTTTCACTACCTCTCAATAGCATCATCCTTGGGATCAAGTCTTTAATACATGGACCTTTGGGGGATATTTAAGATCCAACATATACATCATCAAAATAGGCATCAGAGGTAACCAGAATGTTCGGACCTGCATTAATCTTTATGGGTATCTGAGCAAAGGACAAAAGAAGTAGGCCTCCCACTTAGGTTCTATGAAATCTTTATTTAAAAAAAAAAATCAGTCTGGAGTATAGGAACCGTACTTGGTGAACAGTGATAGAAATGTTCAGAGTTGGGTCAATTGACATACATGGAGCTCCTGAAGAAAGGATTGGTCCTACACCTTGAGGAAGTATCTTACCTTATTAACAGAAGTTTCTTCTTAGCCCTTTCCCAAAAATGTTCATAGCCATTTCTGGGAAAATGAAACTATCTGGACTGAAATGAAGAGTTTATAGAATTGAACATATCCCCCAAGAAAGCAGAATTTTATGGAACACTGATCAGTTGGTGTCTAGTAGGATCAGGTAACAGATGAAATCTCAAAAGGAGTCTAGAGAAAATTGAAATTTACCTTGTTGTTATCCTCTTGGCTTGTGAGACTATAAATGGAATATACGCTGGAAAAATCTCCAGACTTTCCTCATGACTCATCCACCAGGGGCTGTTAATATAGAAAGTTAAATGGAAGTCTCTGGAGCTCTGTATCTCCCCAAATAGTAACCACTAGCAATGCTATAATATTCAGGGGACTTTCAGTCATATATACTGTTATCAATGAATTAAAAAGAGACTCATTACATTTCCTCTTTTGGCTTGTTGGAAAGATAGATAGGTTTTGGAGGAAAAAAGTGGCTTATCCTAACCTTCATCAAATACTCCAATGGCAGTTCTTGTTCTAGAGTTTTGTTTTGCTTTTTCCTTGACGAAATCAGCATTTGATTCTTGGGCCCTGATACAAATCTACGGATCTCTCAAATGGAATTCTATGTCACAAGCTAGAACAACATGAATTGTTTCTTTTTTCTTTTGGGAGAGCAGGCAGAATGCCTCTACTAGTTCATGTCAGGGATTACATCAATGCTATGATTCTGTGTCACAATTTAGTTCTTGAGAACCTTAATAATCTCACTTTTCTAATAAAGCTTCATACAGGCTCACTACATTGATGCCATCATATTTGTAGTACCTGTTCTAGTCAGCTTTCATGTTGCTGTGAGCAAATATCTGACAAGAACAGCTTAAAGGAGGAAAAGTTTATTCGGGGCTCATGGTTTCAGAGGTCTCAGTTCATAGATGTCTGACTCCTTGGCTCTGGGCCTGATGGGGAGTCCACACATCGTGGGGGAAGTGCTTGTAGGGGTCAGGAAACAGAGAGAGAGGGAGGGGGAAGGGGCCACAGAGAAGACACACCCTTCTGGGCCACCTGTCAGTGACCCACTTCCTGTAGCCACATTCCATCTGCCTAAAGTTACCACACACTCAGTCCATTCAAACTAGGATGGACTTGTTAGGTTACAGGTCTCATAATCTAGTCATTTTACTCTAAATATTCCTGCATTGACAGGAGCTTTTGGGGAACACTTCATATCCCAACCATTATAGTACCTGAAAAATAGGAAACAAAGTTATCTTACTTTCAAGACATATTTCTGCCAGAAAATAAAAGATAATTTCCACTAACCAGGTGGGCTGCCCCATCGGTGAAATTTCTGGAATTGCATTCTTCTTTTGGATTTTCTTCCAAAGGTCCCTACAGAGTTAAGACATGGGCCTCTGTAGATTTATGCGTCTATAATCAATCAATCAATCAATCATCATCTCACATTTAGTTTTACTAATTTAACACACTTAATTGATGACCTAAAGAGCTGCCAACTTTGAGTAGTCAGAGGCCAGAGCTGGGAAGGTACTCCAGTGTATCTAGGCTACATTCCAAACATCTTTGCCACTTTACTTTTATGAATTAGCTGATTTAATGGTGCTGAAAATATCCATGTAAGATTTGGATACTGAATGGAGCCAGTTTCCAGACCTAATACACAGATTACAGTGAAGGTCACAGGATTTTTATGGAAAGCTATGTCTTATTTGGTAAGTAACTATTCTTCATTTGAAAAGATGCTTTTTCTTGCTATTGGACCATTTAGATAATAGCACTCCATATATGGTACATGTTTTAGTCAGCCTTTTTGCTGTTGTGACTAAAAAGATCTGACAAGAACAATTTTATAGCAATAAAAGTTTATTTAATGGCTCATGGTTTCAGAGGTCTCAGTTCATAGATGGCTGGCTCCATTCTCTGGGGCTTGAGATGAAGCAGTACATCATGGCAGAAGAGTGTGGCAAAGTGAAGTGGCCCAGGACATCACATCAGGAAGCACAGAGAGAATAAGCTTAGCTCACTAAATATATATCCCAAAGGTACGCCCCCAATGACCCACCTTTTGTAACCACACCCTACCAGCCTTCAGTTACCATTCAGTTAATCCCTGTCAGGGGATTAATTCACTCATTGGCTTAAGGGTCTCATTACCTAGTCATTTCACCTCTGAACTTTCTTTCATTGTCCCACAAATGAGGTTTTGTGGAACACTTAATATCTAAATCTTAACAGCACATCAACTGATTGCATGGCTTACTCCACCTACCATGCACTATTGCTTGATTCATAAGCATACCTAATTGAACTTCACCGCCAAAGACATGTGTTGTATTCGGTATCAGAGTAGAGAAAGCCCTTAATGCACCAATTCCAGGGACAGGCAGCTTATATTGCCAGCACTATCAATGCTTCCTTAACCCAAATGAAAGTTGTTTTAGAGTATTTTAATATGGAAGAAATAAATAAAGCCCTGTTTAAAGGTGACTCTATATGATACCATGGTATTATGTAGAAGTAAACTTCTGTAACCTTATTGTGTCACCTGTGGATCATTTTAAGATGAAGTAGAGGAAGAAAATATAACCAGCGGGTACAATTTTGACTGAAACATTTCATTGTTCACTGTTTTTTTGAATGAATGATATGCGGAAGTGAGAATATGCATTGATTCATGGCGGTGGCTGGTGATTTGTCAAAATGGTCATAGTAAAAGAGGAAAGATTAGAGAATTGTTTGGGGGAGGGAAGTTTGGGGAAGGGTCATATATTTAGAGTTCTTGGAATAGGTGTACAGTGTTAGAATATCTGAGACCATTTCTTCTCTGCATCACCCACTGAGTAGGATAAAAATGACTGGTCCTTTGAATGTCAGTTGTCTATTTTCCATTTAGACACTTGATCAATATGTTATTGAACAAAGGCCTATAGTGGCAGGGTTGGTAATTACAATGAAAACAATAAAATGGACCATGGCTTATCAGGTTAATATCATGCTGATTATCCAATTTTTAAAAATCAGTCAACACTGAGAACCCAATGTTATCATACCCAGGGAATGTTCATTATACTGGATTCTTTACATAATTGGAGGTAATTTTTTTCCTCCTGGTTGTAGACACGTATTTTGAACCTGAGTTTACTTTAGCCTACCATCTCCTGACACATCAGCATGAGTGGACATACTAAATCAAGACTATGGTTTGGATGTTGGGTGTCCCCTCAGTTACATGGGTTGGAAGCTTAGTGCTTCAGTGTGACAGGTGGTACAGATCTGAAAGGGGAGGGGTTTCATGGGTGGTCTTTAGGTCATTGAGAGCACTGCCCTGGGAAGGGAACAAGGGTCTCCTGGAGTGAGTTCTCATGAGAGTGGCTTGTTATAAAAGCCCAAGTCCAACCCCTGAATCTCATTGTGACTTCCTGTATCAGGATGTGACCCTTTCTCCAGTACCTGTTTCTGCCACCTGCCACAGGGCCCTTGCCAGAGCTTGCAAACTGAGCTAAATAAACCTCTTTTCCTTCATAGTCTCCCTCCGGCACTTTATTATAACAATGCAGAATGGGCTGGTACAACGAAGCTATCCCACAAAGCACTGCTTTTGACCAATGGGCTCAC